GGGGGGGGGGGGGAGGCGTCGAAATTCATTAGAGTTTCCCTCGAAGCTATCGGAAGAAGATTCGGATCAGTTCGTTCCATTTAATTTGGTGAGGGGGAGGGCGGGAGGATTGTCTGAAATAACGAAGGGGGGCAAAGGAACTGGGTGGTCTTATCTGAACCCGCAAAGTGTTTTATAAGGGTGATTGATTTCTGTTGTAGCTCTCGTCTCCGTAGAACCGAAGGAATCAAATCTCGACTCCAGCTGCCTTTTACGGGGCAGCCGATCCGCTTGAAAGTATAGGCGAATTAGTATGACTGATTGGAAATTGCTGGGAGCGTGCGATCGAGCGGGGATTAGTGAAGTAAAGGAGGGGAAGGAGATTGAAAAAAAAAATAAGGTCATCGAAAAGGCCCTGATAAGGATTATAGACAAAATAGCGGAACTAAGTGCCCCTTACTCCGATCCCATCATTTGTTACGATACTAATGTCCTACCGATAACCTAAGCTGACTGGGTTGTGGTATTTTAAGAACGTAACTTATTGTTCCAAAAAAAATTTTCTTGGTGAAGAATTAATTTTACAAAATCTTTTTCGATTACACTTTCGTTGGTATATCGATCGTAAGATCGAACGTTTTCTACGTGGCGTTTACGTCACCAAAGTAAAAAAGAATTCCGTGCTGTATTTACTACCTTGTGTGTGAAACTTTGTTCGAAAAGGTAGACCTTATCGTAATGCATCTGTAAGCAACTTCAGGGATTTAGCGTGGTAAAATAAATTCGCGAATTCCATAGCCCGTACGTCAGTTTTGTTTATAAACAAAAAACATATGACTACTTCGTTATTCCCATGGTGTACCTATTAACATGAAAAATAATTTCCGTCTTCCTTTCGAATCGATGACGATATCGGTTTTATTACGCAATATCACGCTGCCGCAAGAAAAACATCTGTCCCTACAGAGAGACCAGTCTGTCAAAATGCGAACCCATATAAACTCGAGCGAGATACGAATCTCGTTCTTCATCCGCTGGTGGGACCCCTCAGCGCGGGAAATACAAACGCCATAGAAAGCTCCCGAAGATAGGGGGAAAAGAAAAGAGCCTTTTGATAAATTTTCCACAGCCGTAGGTGACACTGCGTATTTTCGAAATCTTGAAAAAGCGTTTTATCTACCGGGACACGACGGATCGATAGGTTATGTGTGTAAGGTACAGTAAAAATACCGTCTGATAGATCAATTCCTCGAGAGCGTAGGGTCCCGAATGCAAAGGACGTATAATAAAAAGAAGCGAATCTGCGTTCAGTGTGATTGATAAGAAAATTATGAAAATTATTAGTAAAAAAATATATTTTAAGTAAAACCGCTTTACTGCGACCGATTGACCGAGTGACACTGTCAAACGTGACTAAGCGCTGACTTGTCGCTGTTAGCGCGTAAAGAAAGTAAGTGGCTCTCGTGATCCCGTAGTGGAATATGGAAGAGGCCAAGCAGTGTATAGCGCCGATGGAGTGGATGGTAGTAAATTTTACGAGTGTTGGTATCCCTGCCTCTGAGTACGTATTGTCGGTACAAGCGTGCGCGGGTACGTCCGTGCGACGACTAGCGTGGAGCCGAGGAGTATATCTCGAGTGATCCCACCCCGGAGCGTTCAGAAGCAGCGCGCGACTTGAAGCGACAACATCGGGTTACGGCGTGTAGAATTCGGTTGGGACCGAAGGAGACGAATTTTCGAAGAATTTGTATCGAGCGTGCATTAAAAAATATATAACGTGAGAAGAAGTTAATACGATTTAAAGTGTTCTAGTGGGTGAAAATATCTTTACGAAAATGTCTCGAACTGCCCGGTTTTGTGTCGCTTGAAAAGCGTGCAAATAACGGTAAAAAGATCCATCGCGAGAAGTGTGTAAATTTTTCAGCCCCAGATTCACTGTCGACGGTTAGCTTGCAGCTGTATATATATATATTTATTTATACGCACATATAATATTAAAGCGTATACTACAAAGGAGGTAAAGAGAGCAAAGGAAAAAGAGAATACAAGAGAAAAGCTTTCCGAGGGGGAAGAAGAAGATAGAAACGAAGATAAAAGAGAAAAAGAATTTTCCCTTGGTTTTCTTGTTTGTGTACGTAAATATTTGAAGGTCGTAAGTCTAAGGAGTTTCGTTTTTGACTGTTGACAAATATTTACTCTCCTGAACTTCACAAGGATTCCATTGTCTGTCTCCCTCTCTCTCTCTCTCTCTCTCTCTCTCTCTCTTTAATATAGAGCATACGTGACGCGTCAGTGAAAAGAGGCGCGAAAGGATAAAAAGAAAATTTGAAAAACTATAGCTACACCGTACAGCCTATAGCCATTGGCTCTCAGACGCATCGAGCCGTTGTCACGTGACTGTCTCGTGAAAACATAACAAAGGGCATAAAGGCTATTAATAGCAAGAACGCTCTTATCGATAATAGATACCGGATACTCAATAGACGATACGTGATAAGATCGATAGTGTTGAGAATTGCATAATATAACAGAGTGAACGATTGAAGTGTAATTAGCTGTATCCGTCTGTGGCTTCAAGCGAGGAGAAAGCAAATCGAGACATTCAAATCCGAGTGTAACGGACGAACCTTCCTACGATATCAGACGCTTCAGCCATTTTGAAGTGTACCGAAATCTATTTGCAGCCGATTTAACGTGAACGACGAACTTTTCAATATCGTATTATTCCAAGTTTCGTTCGACAGTCGTGCATCGAAGATACGAAAATGGCGCCGTTCAACGGATTAAATGTGACACAGCTAACGATGGAGTCGGTGGATCGAGTCGCCGACGACGGAATCGAGGGCAACTTGACACTTGTACAGGTAGTTTCCGAGGTGGTCCAGGAGTTCGAGACAAGAGAAATGACGGAGGCTGAGTACGAACAATTCTTGGCTGACGTTTGGGTCGGTGTGGTTTTGACTTTGATGGTCTTAAGCTGTGTTTGCTGTATGTGCTCCTGTCTTCTCTATCACAAGTTTCAACAATGGAAACGTCACGGTGAGTTAAATCTTTGTTAGGATACTACAAAAAATATCTTGCCTTGTCACACAAATTTAGGAATAAAGAATCCGAGCAGCGTTAGGCTACACGTATAGATTCGTATTCGAGCAGTGGAGTTCTTGTCGCGAATAAAAGTTTTAAAGCGTCATAAAAGGATTTCTGTTAGAAGTTCCTGACGATAAGGCAGGACAAAAATGATAATAGCGATACTTATCACAAATACGACTCACACACGGAGACGAGCTTATCTTTTAGCTATGGAAGTGTCACTGCGAGCTATTATCTTTATCAATGTCATTGATTAATAATTTGTAAAAGAATCGTATAAGAATTTTCATAAATGCTCTAGAAATCTAATTCGTGATTTTTATAAGCGTTTAGAAATATCTTCGATACGGAACAATAATTCGGGAGAATAGCCTAAAGAAAAAATTGTGATAACGCCATATAAAGTTTGTAGAGTTTCAGATATTCAGGATACATGCACTTATCGCAAAATTCAATGTGATTCGCATCTCGCGATAGTCGCGTGCTAATGTCGGAACAAATTCGAAAATACCATCAGCTGTCATATGCCTTAAAAATGTGTACCTCCTACTCGTCCTTATTTGATAAACATGACTTATATACACATATATATATACATACTCTATAAGGTCTACAGATCCCTAAAAGTATTCCGAGCGGGATTGCTCGTTCTTAATGCATTGTATCGCGTTTACGGAGACGAGCCTTAAGGATTTGGTTTATCCCAGTACAGAAGCGTCGCACGCGAAAGCTTTTCTTGGGACGTATGGAAGGCCACAGTTCTAGAGTAGCAAGGAAAAAGAAACGCGAGAACAATGAAAGGACGTACACTGGTTGTCGAGCTTATCGGCTGACTGAACGATCGAACGCAATCGTATGTATCTGCGTTCGAATGAGAATCGTTTGAAAATTGACGAGGCAGAAGTGTTATTCAGCCGCGATTCAATTTCGTACGACGCGACCTTCTGGACGGGTGACTGTCTGCGATTATGTACGTTATGCACCATATAGGTTAGGTATCCAGGTCTGAAGCTGGTACCAACGTGCAGGTATTATATGGAGATACGACGATAAATTGAAAATCCAGATAGCTGAACTGCACACGGAACCATTACTTTTAGTAATTAAATATCGCTTCGATGCAGATTCACAAGTAGGAACGGCTACTTGAAAACGTATCTTCGTGGATTTGTTAAATCAGAAGTTCCCGACTAGCGGTTCTCATAGTATGTATAGTGTGTGAATATATATTTATATAAAGCAGCGTTACGTTAAACTCACGTCTGTTACTAATTTCTTACGACGTTGCTACCTCATATGCATACGGTAGAATAAATTACGCTGGACACCCTTGTGTCTACATCCTTCAGGAACTCAGCAACTGAAATACGGCTTTTGTCAGGATGGCTCTTTCCGTGTGACGTAACAAATCCATGAAGCACGCTATACACTGTGTACCGTGTAATACATGACTCGATGAAGAAGCAATGTAGATACGCGTCTCGGGGGGAATAAACGAAACGTACGACACAACGCGGCCATGTTGAATTTATAATTCGTCTGACAGCCCGTCTCGTTATCTTACGCCATCGAGCGTGAATCATGTAAGCTTTTACCTGATACGCGTATGCGATCATGCGTATAATCGTACTTGAGTCTAATGTAAACGAGTAAAGCCGGGTAAGTACGGTTGCTCTTCGAAGACGTTGAACTTTGCAAAACAATGACGGGCATTTGTACCGGGCTGCTTGCGAGCGCCTCGACTGTGTCGCTACGGACCACTCATTGGTGTTCGCTATGCACGTAGTTGTCGGGTTGCCCGCGCGGAGCGCGACGATCGCTGCCGCGTTGCATGCCGGGTGCGCATTCGTTTCTCGCGCACGTATACGGGATATCCGCAGCGTCCACGGAATGTAATATTCGCGCTATTCAGAGACCAGCGGGAAGACAGGTGAATGAAATTGTTCTTTGAAAAACTAATGGCTGTTTCCTTCTTCTCTCTGTTGACATTGTACTTACGGCTTGTTTGTTTATGCGCTATGGTTCTCTGGAAAGTGCCGGTCTGCGGTTTCGCGAGAACAGACTCGAGTATCCCTTGGGAGAAACGAAAAACGTAAATTGTTGTACATCAGTAGTCTCTGTAAATTCCTGTCAGGACTTAATTGCTCCAAGAAATCCCTCCAAGCGAAATTGGCTGCTATTTTTTGAGCAGATCGATGCGCTCTGAAGACACGCCGAAGTCTGAGCACGTCTCGTTCCTTAACCTTTCTCAGAAACTCCTATTACGATTCACCGAAAACGCTCTGAATCGCGCCAAGACAACAATACTAAACAGCTTTTTCAATAGAGATTTTCTTCTTGTTTGACGTACAGTTAGGACTAAGATAATGGCGGTTCTCCTGAGTCAAGAATACACGTAGGCTTTATACCTGACTCTTTAGGCAAATACTCATAGTGATACATTTTCAAAGTCTTATGGGACAAATCTTAATGAAACGTGAACATTTTTTTTTTCTCAAGAATATAGGTAATTTTTATTATTGACTCTATGGCAAACACTCATAGTGATACATTTTCGAAACCTCATGGGACAAATCTTAATGAAACGTGAAACTACTTTTTTTTTTCTCGAAAATTATACGTTCTCTTTATACTTAACTCTATACGCAAATATTAACAGCGATACTTTTTCGAAGAGTCTCATGTGACAAATCTTAATACAACGTAAAATTACTTTGTTTTTCATTTGTCAAAGTTACGCAGCTTTTACATCAAGTATCCATGTTCAACGATATGGTTACAGCTGAACAAAAAAATTAGACGCGTTGTCAATAACATTTGCATACTTAAAGTTGCCCAATAAACCTGCTCGACACTACATTGTTTACGTTCTCTAACGCCGACGAATTATCAGAGTTCATTGCCAATGTCAGCCGTGATGAAATATTAAAAAGAGACACGTACCGGTTTTTCGTTAACCTAATCCGTAGATATACTAGGTGTACAAATTAATTCTCGGCTCCAAAATTGAAGAAATGACGGCGGCTATTTAAATTAAATTATTATCATCGCCGTAAGGCAAATTTAAAGCGTCACCCTGAAGCTTCGAAACGAGGTATAATAATTGACGGTGTTCCCGATATAACATCAAAAAACAGTAGTAAAGCCGATGTCATTGAAAAAGCAACACTAAACACTGCCACCCCTTTTGAAATTCCGACTGAGGAAATATGCTGCTGGTGCTAAGGAAATAATTTCTTTCACTTTGGGTGAAAATGCTGTGTCTGCGTGTAAAAAGTGTTTCCAAAGGTTTATGGATTGAAATTTCAATCTTCGGGGGGGGGGGGGGGGACAAAATTTTTT